CCAAGCATATCCCACCTTTCCTCTCTTGCCTGGTCATTCCCCTCAGATGTCTGCAGGACTCCACATCCTCACTCATTTCCATTTTCTTAACCATTATCATGTGGGAGGTCATTTAAGACCATATCTAACAGGGCAGCCACCGCACCCACATCACCTGAATCCATGATCCGGCTTTATTTTTCTTTACAGCACTTACCATTATTCGACCTTATAGGTTTGATTCCTTGATTTTGTCAGACCCTTCTGTAGTATCACCTAAGAGATACAACATTTTCTCTTTCACTCCCTGTAATATCCCAGCACTTAGAACAGTGCCTGACAAGGAGTAGGCAGTCCCTAAATATTTGTAAAGGGATCAGTGAAAGAAAGAATGAATGGATGGGTGAAGACAAAGGGCTCTGGTATATGAAAGGAGGGCTGGATTTGCCTGTGCAGGTGGTTGTAGCAGGCTCTGTGTCAGAGGGACTGGAGCTGGGTCGTTAAGGACAGACAAGATAATCAAAAGGAAGGGAGATGTGCACATTTCACACTCACCCTCGGCAGTAGAGGAGAGACCTACTACTATTAGGTGGAGTTCCTTTTCATCAAAAGATGAACCAGCCTTCTTAGGAAATGAAGTGGGAACTTGATACAGAGTTCGTTGCTAGATATTTCAAATTGGATACCTTTTCATCTGAGGGAACAAGGGCGATGACAGGGAGGTGCTACGGCAGGAAGGCCCTGGATTTGGAATCAGAAGGCCTGGGTTAGAGCTCTGAGCTCCCCACTGATCATGTCTGGGATGCTCATGTCTTCATTTTTATAATGGGAATAGAACATGGATCCAAGGCCACTCTGTATGAGCTTGTTCCAGAATGTTAACGTAATGATCAAAATGTGTTAGCCAGCTCTGAACACAATAACCGGAAACCGTGTTGGACCAATGGCTGGGGTCCAAGTGGAGGAGAAGATCACTTCTTTATTGTCAACGTGATTAACTCAGCCTAAGGTATCCAGCAGTGCTTCTGGCCGCCCCGTCACACACACAAATGGAATTAGGCTCCAATGGACTAAAAATCCCTTGATCTCTCTGTTAATTGCTACTATGTTATTTCTTATTTGACATTTTCCTCTATAAATGATCCTTTCGTAAAATTTGCTTTAGCGTGCCCTCTCTTGACTGTTTCCTTATATCCTGATACTCACATCGATTCTTCGCCCTTCTAACCAGCATGGTGATGGTAAGCCTGCTTTACCAATCCTCAGCCAAGATATTGCTAGTAACACACCGGAAGATGACAGGGGCTAGAGTGGGAACCTGGAGGCTTCCGCCAGAGACCGGCGACTTACGTAACTAACTCTAGTGCATTCATCAGTATTAGATAAATACAGATGTGGTCATTTCTCTAGTTAGACAACCCCCCCTCCACCCCACCACCTCCAAAAAAAAACACTGTAGAAAAAATCATCTTGTGTTATTTTCTCTTGCCCAATAAAAATAACAAGAAATGAAAGCAACATACATCTGCCATGCTTTGTGCAATCAACACACTCAGAGCTATGTTGTCTCTCTGACTCTCCATGATGGAGGAGAAGACAGACCAGCAATCCTATCACTCATGAGCCCTGAATGGCTTCTGGGGCTGGCTTTTTTCTCTCCAAGGATTGGTAAGACATTGATGATCTTCACTGGAATCCTGCCTGGGAATCACATCAGGTTCATGAGGGAGCCCTAGGGTCTTTCCCTTTGGGCCTTCTGGCTGTGTCTCACACTCCTAGATGCTGAGACACTCCTCCTCCAGATTCCTCACAGGGAGAGTGGGGACAACAGGTTATGTCTCAAAACCCAGATGACAACCCTGGTGTCGTCACACTCCCACACTCATCGCCAGCTAGATCACGCCTTGGTTGCTGACCCTGATTTTGACCTGGAGGTCTTATTTTGTTTAACCAATGAGCAATAATGTGAGTATCGCCCAAGAGGTACGGGCAACTCAAGCACGTGAGTCTACAGAATACCCATTTCTCTCATTCATGTGGCCTGCCTGGCATCTGCCTTTCTTTGACCCCGAACCTTGACCATGCTTCCTGTCTCACATGCGGATATCTTTATCCCTCCTGTTCCTGTCCCAGACTTTTATTTACTTTAAAAGAAGTTAGTAAATCAATCAATACAGAGAAAGTGGAGGCAAGGGGCAAATTCTGATTTCTTCTCTCTAACATTTATCTTATAGAAATGCTTCTCAAACCTTCATATGCCTATGAATCACCTGGAGAGCTTGCTGAAAATGCAGATTCTGATTCAGCAGGTAGGGCCCAGGACTCTGCATCGCTAATAAATCCCCAAGGGATGATCGCACTGCTGGTACTTAAACTGAAACTTGGTTCTCAACCCTGATTATACATTAGATTCACCAACGGGCTTCAAAATACATCTGTGGCCAGACCCTACTCCAAAGAGTCCATTGTAATTGGTCTGGGGGGGGTAAAGCCTGGGTTTTTTTGGCTTGTTTTGTTTTTCCTCCACAAGATTCCCAGGTGCTTTTGTTTTCACATGTAGGGTAAGAGACTGATAGACTGATGTTCTAATCTGCTGGGTTGGAGGCTTTAGTGAGCATCAGAATTTCTGGGAGGGTTTTTCAAAATACACAATGCTGAGCCCCACCCCAAGAGTTTAATTCAGTGGGTTCAAGGGGGGGGGCTGATAATTTGCATTTTGAACAATTTTCCAGGTGACCCTGATCTGCTGGTCCAAGAAACATACTTTGTGAACCGCTGGTCAAATCCAAGCAACCAAACTATTCTTCCCACATTCTAGCGCTGCACATGAAAAAGGGTTAAAACAGACAAGGAAAGGACAATTGTACAGGCTCTAGAACATTTTTTAAACTTCCAATCATTCTGAACTTTACACTTTAAACACTATTCTTGTCTCCATCACTGTTTTGCAAAGCGGTGTACATTTGCCCCCCTTCCAGCTTTTGCGTGAATTGGTTGAAACCTAACTAACTCACTGGAAAGTTTGCCATGTACCCACAGTTGTCTC